ATATGGGGTCTTTGCCTTGAAAATGACCCTACGGTATCATGTACCGTAAGGTCATTTTCAAGGCAAAGACCCCATATGATGGCAACGATAAAATTATAAAATCCCACTTTCTCACTTTTTCTTCCTAAAGGCGAAGACCTTTATGAAAATTTTAACAATTACCAATATGAATCAACCTCAACCTTTAATACCTCAAACCGCTAGTATCCCTCTAAATTCATCTTTTAATAATCTTACTGCGAAACAAAAATATGAAATTTTAACTAAAGGTACTACTGACATGTTTGGTAGTGCGCAAGAAATAGAGAACCAGACAGCTCCTCAATTTCCGACTGATATTCTTTCTGGATCATCTTTTCGTTAAGCAAAAATTATGAATTTTCTTTTTCCAAAGAACTTTCAAAAAAATGGTTATTTTTATGTATGCGGCGGATCATGACCTCTTTTATCATCAATTTATTGAATCATTTGCATTTGATGTTTTTCCATCACTTCATTATCTATCAACACTTGCTCCATCGACACTCCTTTTTCTGTTGATACGCTTCTTCCTCCATAACCTTGCCGCAAAACTATGGACTATTGCTGTACAGTATCGCTGGGTTTTGGATAATTAAGATTTATAAATCACTATTTTTATTTTATATTATCAACAAGATTAATGAAAAAGAATTCTTCTCTCTGTGTTCTTTTCAAGGAAATTGACTTTCCCTGTGCGTGTAAAAATAGGACATATATATATAAATGCGATAAACAAAAAAGTCTCCTCATAATTTCTATTCTCATCATTTGATTCCTGGAAAAAAATTTTTCTTTTAAGCGAATGTACATACGTATTACTACAAAAGAATCCTTTTTTCATTTATCTAAAAATAACAAATATACGATATATCAACACATATTGGATATATTATTTTTTATGAGTTGCGAATTTGTGTTTGTGTTTGATTAACAATATTTTTTGACTGCTATTTGGTCTTTCACAATTTTTTATTTTTATTTTTTTGGTAATAAAATGATCACAAGTAATGCGTTTTAAATCTTTTCGCATTAAAAAAAAAAATAAGGATTACATATCTACAAACAGTATACTGTATTTCAAACATAAGTTACGTATAAAAAAAATAAATAAAAAATAAAACTCATTACACAGTTTATTTTACAAAAACCTCCGCGCCAAATTTCCTAAAATGACAATGTTTTTTTGTTTTTTTTTAATACTCGGAGACGCAGTGTTGGCCGATGACATAAGTCATACTTGGTCATATAATCATATGACTTTTGGGTCATAAGTCATATCGGTCATATCCAATATTAGTAAAAAAAATTTTTTACGTACTATGATTATTACTATATTAAAAGGTCAGTTATGACCAAATGACCTATGACAGGTCATAAAGGTTATCAGCCAACACTGCGGAGACGCAAACACATTATTTTTGACCCACTCTAAAAAAAGTCGTTTTTAACTATCATATGAGATACATATCATCAGTCTTGTGATCGGCGAATCTGTAATAACTTAAACGTACGTATATCGAAGCTTATATAAATTTGATAGGAATATTATATGAGAATAACATAATGATTAATGTCTTATAAAAGACAAAGTGATAGAGAAAATAAATTTTTTGTTTGGCGATATATTGTAAAACGGTTTGTTACAATCACATTACGTATCGCACTTGAGTATTATAACAATGATATTCGTAACTTAATTGAACTCAATATCCACCCAAAATTATTTCCTCTTGTTTCTGTGGGAGAAATACAAATACCATTTGGACGAACAGTCAAAAATTGTCTTCATTCGCTTCATATATCATAAAATATCCCAAAGTCAAATGAGGCAATAAGCACGAGCTTGTGATAGTTGTAATGCAAGTCATCATGGTATTTTAATAGTTTCTTCTCTTTGTGCCCTAATGATCAAAAACGGCGAATTTTTTTTTTTGTGTGGGTCAATAAAAATGGGTCAAATGGTCAAAACCAATGTTTTTGCCTTGGAGATTCTGAATTCAATAGTTTAACTGGTCAAAAACAATGTTTTTGCCTCAGAGACTCTGAATTCAATAGTTTACTCACACAATTGTCCGGTTGTTCACAATGAGTAGTATTCATTATGATATTATATACACAAAATATTATCCTATTATGTTTTTAAGTTTAGTAGTCATTCATCTTTTTTGTAAGATTTTCTGTTAAAGTTCTTTTGATTGAGGCAAATAAATGACATTCTTTACTCGTTTTGTTTCGACAAAAAGAAAATAATTGTTCAAAATGCTTATTGACGATAATTTAGTAAATGCCTGTAATAAGAGTGGATTGTGTTATCTTTATTGGAGTTTCTTTATTACCAAGAAAGAAGTATGTACAGTAAGCTAAAATCGTTATTCCAAATCAAAAAAAAAGAAATGAAAAAAACAAATTATTTATCCTGTCCCTAGCATATCTTATAAATATATACTGATGATACTATGTCAAGTACAGTACTTAATATGTTTATTACACAATTTTCTTTTAACTGTTAAGTACTTACCCAAACCGGGCACAGATTTTCTTTTTGCCTGTCAAAATCGTAATAACAATGATATCCTAATTTTCGTAATGTTTGCATTAATACAAAGTAGAAAGAATATATCTAAATTTTTGTGCTGAAAACTTTTACATAATAACAAGACCAATTTCCCTTGTGAATTTATGAGTTTTTTGCGAATTCTGGTTTTTTTTTTCGCCTTTATTTTTTACCTCACATTTGTATGTTACATAGATCTTAGAATCAGATTGAATAAAAATCATGGAGCCCGCCAAATTTTTGCGCCATCACTATTTTAATCATTTCAAAAACCGCAATAATATTGTATACTTAATTTAAGTATGTAGTACAATGAAATACTTAAATTTGTGTGATATTCAGTGCAGGAATGCAATGCAACTAAATTGCGTAACACGTTTTTTTAAAATCGCAATATTAGTGGTGATTATTATTATATCAATGTATTACTATACATTACATATGCTACAAAAAGAAAAGAAGGAAAATTCTTTATCTAATTTATCTCATTTCGGCCGATGACGTCAAAAAAAGTAACAATTATGATTGGTTGATTAAATCAGCATATATGTTGTCATTTGTGACCTAAGAGATTATCAAAATAATCATTTAAATTGCAAACGACAAAATAGATTCCTATCTTTGTAAGATAAATATATTACATAGTAAGACAATTACCTATTACAGCTTATCGAGACACACACATTTTAGTTAGACTAGTGATGCAATATAATCGTCCCAATGGAGTTTCAATGAATTTTTGAGATATGACAAAGTTACGCCACGAATTGTCGTAAGGGAACTAACACAGCCTCCCCCCGTTTGACAATTACAAATTTTAATGTAATCAAAAAACGTAATTGATATAGAATTTGCAATTGTCAAATGGGAGAGCCTACATCTACATAATAAGTAGTTTCCTAACTTTAGTATCAAAAACTTCATTGGGACGATTCTACTGCATCATTTTATTAGACGAACTTTCACACCAATTTCCTAAAAAAGGTGCTGAACCTCGCTTTGGACGAGCTTACTTAAAATACAACTTTTCTAATCTCGCCATGGCACGTTTTGTTTTGATTAATTAGTCGATATGAATGGTGCAAATCAAATTTTACATTTATATTGTCCCAGTTAATCATTCTCAGGAGTATAAACACCGTGATTATAAGATCATAGCCAAGTTTGTAAAATAAAGATTAAATTTTTCTCGATCCTTCCATCCTGCTTACGTTTTGTGAATGTATTTCTAATAATTATTACTGTATTAAGTCAGACCTCCCTGCATATTCATAGTCTATGAAAGACCTCTCTAAATGCAAGATTTTTTGGCCGTCCCTATCCATTCACAACATAAACCAAAAAGTTAATGTGAATAGTGTAGATTAGAGACCCCAGGTTATGCAATATTTGTGCGAGGAACCATATACATATTTCATATTAGGGGTTTCAGACTTAAGGTTCAGGTTTCTGATTTCGAATTAAATTAGCTACGTATTAATTTTGTAATCAGCGATCTATAAATCCTATTTATTTTTATTTAAGCCTATTTATATAATAAGATATAATATAATATACATCATTAAAAATAGTTTGTTTATTTTATCTCCGGACAACTCCTTTTTTATTTTCTGATTTCGAAATTTCAAACCAAAAATAGAACTTTTCAAACTCCCACTTATTTTCAAAATAAGTTAACTCTGAAACCCCATTGTCATAAATTTGATTTATCATTATATAATGTGTTAGTTATGAATTTAAGATGGTAAAAAAAGAAATTTAACAATTATATACATATGCTTTTATTATTCGTTTAAAATGCTCGCACAAATTTCAAACAATAACAATTGATCGCATTTTATGCGCCTATTATGTGACCGCATATGTTCGTGGTCTTTAATGTATATTATTCAATATGAATGAAATAGCATTTATTATCCAATAACAAATAATCAAGCAATTTTTAAATACACATATTAATAAATAAAATAAATGATCAGATTAATAAATATTATTTATGTTCACATGCTAAGTTAACATTAACGCGAACAGGAACGGTAAATATTTCCATTCCGATATAGATTAACCACCAAATGCAAGTTTTGATTGATTAATCTATATCGGAATGGAAGTATTTACCGTCTCTGAACGCGACTGGGGAATGTGATAGTAAATATTGGTATATATTTTGAGTAGCCTTAATATATACGTATTTCTTTTTCATATTTAGGGAACCAACACTTATTACGTAAATATAGCCTCCCCCATTTGACAATTACAAATTCTAATGTAATAAAATACCGTAATTAATAAAATTGATTACATTAGAATTTGCAATTGTCAAATGGGGAGGCTATATTTACGTAATAAGTGTTAGCTAAAATTGATGCGATTAAATAAATTCGGATAAATATTATTTTGAACATGATAGTAAACATGGTAAAGCACTATATACATGTACAGTTAACGATTCGACAGCCAAAAAACGCCAATAAAATTTTTAAAGTCAAATTTCTTTGTAGTTTTAAAATTCCTTATAAATCCGCATTTGTAACTAGAAAAGCGAAAAGTTTATAAGACCCAGTCTATACTATAGTGTAGTTATATATTGTACCGAGTGACAGATCAGGACATCCTTTTATTATCTACTGTATTTTTCGCCCACCTGCGTGATATTTTGAGTATATTCATGGGCGTTCTTTTGAGACAAAGATGAATTTCCAACCTGTCAAATTATTATTTTGAAACCCTAATATGGGCGTGTCATTTCAGGACGCGCATGAGCTATTTTTAGGGAACAAGTTTCTAAA